GTGAGAGAGAGAGAGAGAGAGAGAGAGAGAGAGAGAGAGAGAGAGAGAGAGAGAGAGAGAGAGAGAGAGAGAGAGAGGAAAGATTCTCTAGCACATGTCTGTGGAAGGACAAAAGCACGAGTTAGAATAGGAAGCAAGGAGGCAGATGGATTGAGAAAATGGAGATAGAGTGGTACTTGGTCACTTTGACCCAAACAAATGGGTTGAAAATTGAAATAGAGGAATACTGAACACGCTTTGACTCGAGCTGTCATCCTCACCATCGTTCATGCACTCTCCAACAGCCCATGAAATCTTGCCACAACAGCCGAAGTCGTGTCTCACGAAAAGAAAATTTGTTCGCCCTGAGTTCTTAACTGTGATTGGCGATGTCTGCAATTTGATGAATGGTGACATGATGCAGGTGCGACTCTTAAGAGAAATGCTACAATGGGAGCAAGAGCTGCGACACGAAGCTGCGACGGATGGATCAGTGACTGTGATGGACCCCGAACATCCAGAATCGGCTGCACTGATGGAAGTTCTGGTTATCCGTTGGCCCGATGGCAAGATAATGAGGATGCCTTTGGGAAGCACAGCATCTGACGTGTCCGCCCGGGCTGGCCTGGACGCCAGAGTGGTTTTAATAAATGGCAAAGTCGCTTATCCGAACACGAAGCTAAATGATGGCGATGTTGTTGAGATAAGGTCATGGTAGGGAGTGAAAGGTGGGAGAAACACTCTCCACCTTCAGCAAATCTTGATACGTCCAGTCTTCTACCTTCCCACCCCCCACCCACCCAGCCAAGTTGTCAATGTCATGTGCTCACTGCTCAGCCATATGTCGTTGTATTGCTGCTTGCTCAGCTGCAGCCTTCGGGATGGCAGGTGTTGGGGTCACGGATTGATATGGCTGAAAGTGGGGGGCCTTATGTGCTATGCGCATATGTGTTCCTGGTAGAAAATCATAGAGGGATGCAAGTTTATGTAACAGAACCAGATGGCCTAATGGCATGTGATTCTTCCTGGGACTTTTTGTGTCCGTGCAGAGAGGCCCATACTGAATTGCATAAAGGCCGTGGCTACACCGGACCCGAACCCAGACCCAGCCGGTCATGGGACCGAACGCACGTTCGAACCGGTCCGGACATCTGGACTTCCGGGCATGAAAGAGACTAGTAAAGAACCTTCTTGGCACCTTTTGCATCTTCCCAGAAAGAGACATCGTGAATGATCCCAGCGTTAATGGTTTGTGGGACTTGAAGGGACATTGTGCAAATAGTATGTGACACCCGGTACTCAACCTCAAGGGACAGCATGGAAGCCTCGAGGGATGTCAGGCAGGGTTGTCGACCCCCGGCCCAGGGGCCCCAGCGGGGGTCTGGGGATCCAGGGGTCCGGGGTTGGGCACCCCTGGCCCCGGGTCCGGGCCGCCCCCCCCCAAAAAAAAATGGTGGGGGTTGCGCGGCGAGAGCGCGCACCCCGCGGGCAAACCCTGAAAAATGGGGTTTTGTGCCGCACCTTGGAACCCCCCCGGGCCACATCCACGACTGCTGGGACAGGGGTAGCTCCGGGTGTGGGGCCGGGGGTGAGGCCAACAGCTGGCGGGGGCGGGG